AAATATTCTCTGAGTGACCTGTATAATTAGATTTTTCACACAGAATTAACCAAAGTCTAATGTATTTCAGAGTTTCCATTTATATATATATATATTATTTATCAAATATAATATGTATTTGACATATATTTTCTTGGGCTCCAAAATCACTGCAGATGGTGACTGCAGTCATGAAATTAAAAGATGCTTGCTTCCTGAGAGAAAAGCTATGACAAACCTAGAGTAAAAAGCAGAGACATTACTTTGCAGACAAAGGTCCATCTTGTCAAAGCTCTGGTTTTTCCAGTAGTCATGTATAGATATGAGAGTTGGACCATAAAGAAAGCTGAGTGCTGAAGAATTGATGCTTTTAAACTATTGTGCTGGAGAAGACTCTTGTTAGTCCCTTGGACTACAAGGAGATCAAACCAGTCAATCCTAAAGGAAATCAGTCCTGAATATTCATTGGAAGGACTGATGCTGAAGCCCCAATACTTTGGCCACCTGATGCAAAGAACTGACTCCTTAGAAAAGACCCTGATGCTGGGAAAGATTAAAGGCAGGAGGAGAAGGGGACAATAGAGGATGAGATGATTGGATGGCATCACCAACTTATATATATTAAAAAATACGTCAATTTATCTAACATTACCAGAGTCGGTGCTTTCGCACACAGCATTTCCAGGTAACTGAAGTTCTCTAACAAGCCACCTCAAACTGGGAGTGTTTATTTCCTAACCAGAACAAAAATTCCCTTTCACTACAAACGGTAGTAGCTAATTAAAAGAAGTCAAAGGGTCCAGAGCATAGATTTCCATACACCGTGAAATCTGTGTTTGGGTTGACTAAATCAAATGGAATACAAAGTCTAGGGAAATTTTTAAGGTGTTAAAAACTATTCAGAAACAAAGTGTAGTGCTTTCAATAGAGTTCAAAATTAGTAATATCAGTAATCTTCAGGGTAAAAGATCATTTCCTTCCTTTTTGTGATTCTAAACTTAAAACTGACATTTCATTACCCTTAACTGTCATAAAGTTTTATATTTCCTTTAGGAGAATAAAATACAAAGGGAACATTACATTCTTGTCTGTTGAGCATTATATTATAAGGAATGCAGCTTTGGAAACCAAAACTATGCTGGGCATCTTACTGGCTTTTTCCTATATGGTTTCAAGAACCTAAAAACTATTAGAGCAGTAACCCAAGGTTATTATACTCTGTGCTATGCTTAGTTGCTCAGTCGTGCCTGACTCTTTGCGATCCCATGGACTGTAGCCTGCCAGGCTTCGCTGTCCATGGGATTTCCTAGGCAAGAATACTGGAATGGGTTGCCATTTCCTCCTCCAGGGCAAATCCTTCTAGCACTCAAGGAAAAAAAAAATTTTTTTTTCTGTCTTAAATCTCTAGTAAGCTGATCTCAAAAGGATATTAACTTGATATGTTCCATAATCAACACTGTAAAGCCAGTGTCAATTTCCAAACAACAAATGCCAGTAATTTTGGTTCAACTTTGATATAAACTTTCTTATTTTTGGCCACACCATGGGATCTCAGTTCCCCAAACAGGGACTGCACCCAGGCCATTTACCTAGTCCTAACCACTGAACTGCCAGGGAATTCCTGTCTTCCTATTTGAAGCATTTGTTATTTTCTGAAGGATACAATGTTTTGTTCTTTTGCTAATCTGTATAATAATTCACCTAAGAAAACAATCACACATCTTTAGTTCTCAATCTGCCTACAATATTTAGGATTCCCTCCTAGTTTAGTCAGTAAAGAATCTGCCTGCACTGCAGGCAGATTGAACCCAGGAGACCAGGGTTCAATTCCTAGGTGGGAAAGAACCCCTGGAGAAGGAAATGGCAGCATACTCCAGTATTCTTGCCTGGAGAATCCCATGAACAGAGAAGCCTGGTGGGCTAGAGTCATGGGGTTACAAGAGTCGGACACAACTTAGTGACTAAACTACTACCACACCGTTTATGTCAACACTATGCTTTACATTTTATCATATCCTTCACTCTCACTGATTAAACAAAATACTTATGCAGCACCAATTATATACAACTGAGGTTTTAATGGTCACAGGCTTTCATTTCCATTCTCAAGCTCTTATGTCTGGTCACTTGTTTTTTTTTTCCCATTTATTTTTATTAGTTGGAGGCTAATTACTTTACATCATTACAGTAGTTTTTGTCATACATTGAAATGAATTAGCCATGGATTTACATGTATTCCCCATCCCAGTCCCCCCTCCCACCTCCCTCTCCCAATCCCTCTGGGTCTTCCCGGTGCAGCAGGCCCGAGCACTTGTCTCATGCACCCAACCTGGGCTGGTGATCTGTTTCACCCTAGATAATATACATGTTTCAATGCTGTCACTTGTTTTTATGATAACCCTGGGAGAGTGACAAGGGTATCACCTTGTTATCCCCATTTTTGCAGGTGAACAAATAAGCTCAAAAGTTTAAGTGCTTACTTTTCTCAAGGTCAGATACCTTGTAAGACAAACTTGGAGCCAAGATTCCTTATGCTTAATCTATATGCTATTATAAGAGACTACCTATTTGAGGTGAATTTCACTTGACACTTAATTTTTTCTTCTCCACTTTTCAATGATCCTTAAGTTGCTTTGATGTTCTTTTCTGTCTCTCCCACATGAAGCAGAAACCATGTCTTTTATTTTTTTCCTGATTTTAAGTACACAGAGAGCAGTCTGATGTAACTGCTATTTAAAAAAAAAAAAACCACCACCACATAAATTACCCATGCTGAATGCAGAAATAACCCATGTTAAAAGGAGGACTCATCATATTTCCAAGTAGAGTTGATATTCAGGCCATATATGCCCTATTGTAACAGTGTGAAAATATTTAAGTACTCTTGGACAACACTTTTCTTCCGAGCTGAGAGGCATCCTCCCTAGTCCCTTAGATCCAGAGATCTATCTAGTGTCAATAGCTGGCACAGCAGACAGCCTCCAGGACCCTGCTCCAGAGGTGTGGCCTAACAGGTCAGTGGCTGTGCTTTATCAGTTGACAGGCATTTTTAATAACACATCTGCTTTGGGGGTTCCCTGGTGGCTTAGATGGTAAAGAATCTGCCTGCAATGTGGGAGACCTAGGTTTGATCCCTGGGTCAGGAAGATTCCTTGGAGAAGGGAATGGCTACCCACTCCAGGATTCTTGCCGGAGAATTCCATGGACAGAGGCGGCTGGCAGATTGTGACCCATGGGGTCACAAAGAGTTGGACACAACTGAGTAACTAACACTTTCACACTTCACTTTCATACCTGCTTTCAGAAAGGATCCTGGGATATAGGCAAGCCATTCTGAACTCTCCAGGCTAAGTACTCTGTAGTATAAAGACATATCTTAGTATACCAGCACTGGCTCGTTTCCTACTGATGTAATTAAGAGGGGGAGGGGAAAACCCTTATTGTTAACATTTTATTCACAGGTGAGTGTGAGTACTTGGTTTATCAAATCCTTTCTAGTAAAAGTTACCTGAAAGGATGGCTTTGCAGGAAGCGGGTGTGGAGGAGTTAGATCCAGAGCATGTAGGAGAAGCAGTATCTGGAGATGTCAACTTCTAGAGCCTAGAGCAGAGTGCTAAGAGAGAAGGCAGCAGAAGGCAGATTCAGGAAGTTGCCTTTTAATATCTTTGACCTATCACGAAACTTGTGCTCTTAATATTACTCTTAAACCAAATGAACTTTTTTCAAGAGGTATGAGGACAGAGAAATAAAGCTCATCTCACCATATTAATGAATGGACTAAGTACCAAAATTTGAGGGAGAAAACTTACAAGTATTTTAGTTGAATAAAACCATTATAATGGCCATTAAAATGACGGGAAATATGGTGCTCATTCTGAAAGGAAGCTTCAGCATCACTGGATTTACAGAAGAGGAGGCAGCAAAAATGCACATCTGGAGGTGAAATAATATTGTAAACTTAACCTACATTAAATACCATAAAAGTAAACAGAGTCAAAAGACAGCATTATTTACATGTAACTGAGAAGAAAGGGAATATTACAGAGTTAAACTTTTCCATAATTTGTAATGTTTATGTTAGCAAAAGCCTTAGAGTTTGTGTAAAATGACTGTGTGCCTTAATCCCACCCACCACTAGATTAAATAAGACAGTGAAACTGAGACTGATTCCTTCCTGATCTTACAGCTTTATTCGTGATATCCCTCTAAAAAGAGACCAAAATGATTGTGAAGATGACTCATACCTATAGAGTAATTACGAAGTTCCACATTCACATAACGACAAAAGCCAAATGAAATATACTACAATTGTTTTACCTTTCAATTACTTCTGTGTATAATACATCATAAGTAGGCATAGTGGTGCATTTAGGAGCTGATTGTACTCCCTGTGTAAAATTTTAGGAATGCGCACATACGAGTGTAGGTATACTTCCTTCTATTACAAATTAAAAGCAAGCATTTTCTATATAAAATTTTTATTTCTGTGTAAAACAAAGACAACTCCTGAAGGTCTAAAAAGGAAAATTATATACAACATTCAAAGCACTATTAAGTCATGAAACAAAGACGAATCTGAGGTAGAAGTCAAGCAATATAACCCACAACCTTTTTAGGGGAGTATTTATTTCCAGCAACCATCATGCCTCTCCAGTAAGATCTAATTTTTTAAAAGTTCCAAGTTCCAAAAAATTAATAATCCATTTTCTATAATCAGATGTAAAACTATGACCAACAAAAGATACAACGTAAACTTTTGTCATGTTAACAAAGTAAATAATTTTACTAAAAGTTGCTGACACTTCTATCAGTAGTAGCCATAGGGAGGCCGTTGGTTGTAACCATAGTGTCCATATTGATGAGGGTAGTAAGGTTCTTGTCTGTGCTGTGGGTAATTGTTACCCCAGGATCGTCCATGCCATTGATTGGATCGATTGTCACTTGGCCACCCCCGTCTGCTATCCCTACCTCTAAATTGTCTGTTATCTTGCAACCTACAACAACAAAACAGAAAGATTTTTTATNGTTACCCCAGGATCGTCCATGCCATTGATTGGATCGATTGTCACTTGGCCACCCCCGTCTGCTATCCCTACCTCTAAATTGTCTGTTATCTTGCAACCTACAACAACAAAACAGAAAGATTTTTTATACTTCCCTTAAAAAAAAACACACATGAGAAATCTATCCTGGTGCATTTCATTTCTCAATCTAATACTCAGTAAACAAAAGAGTAAAAACCAGTTTTCTTTACAGAGTGTTACTGCACCAGGTATTCAAAACTTTCCTAAAATTCAGATCCAGTATTATACTGGATATACCTTGCAGAGAAGAGGTAAACAATAACACCAAACTCAAAACAATAGGATGGTTCTGAAGCAAACTAAACCCATTCAATTGTTCAAAAGCATTATGGTAATATTCCTCTTATCTATTTTGAGATATTAAATGGAAGTTAATTTCCATTGTATAAACTTCTTTCTAAATGGAAACCAAAACGATACCTTCTTTATGGAATTTGATGTCAACTTTTTATAGAAGACCCTAGGTTTTTAAAAAATATTTGCAAAGAAAAACTAGCCCAGAGAAAGAATATTTAAAAAAAAAAAACCATTAAAATACACACAAACACACAACTGCACAGCAAGGGGGAAAAAAATATGGTGCTGACAAAATATTAAAGCAAATATTTATCAGGCACTTAAGCAGTTACTAGGCACTCAGTATAGCACACTGAACAAAAACACTGATGCCTGCCCTCACGGGCCTCGTGGGTTAGATGATTCGAGCTGTCCTCTCCCAGATCAGCCATCTGCATTTACTCTTCTGAAGTAATACATACCGATTGCCTCTATTTCTCATGCTGCCACCAGCTCTGCTATTCCATTCCTCAACAATTGGAGGAGACTCAGGAGGGCGTTTTAGGTATTCTTGGTACTCNATCTACCAACCGATTGCCTCTATTTCTCATGCTGCCACCAGCTCTGCTATTCCATTCCTCAACAATTGGAGGAGACTCAGGAGGGCGTTTTAGGTATTCTTGGTACTCTTTGTCATCTTCTGTGAATCTACTGGCAAACATCTCTTCAAAATTTGGAACAGCTTCAGAAGTGTCAGCCATTCTGAGATTCTGTACAGGTTTTTAATATGCTTCTATTAGAATTTTTTTTTTAAGTAACACCATCTTTACCAGATGGTGAGAAACTAGGAAGTAAACACTTTTAGGCAGAGTATGCATAAAGTCCTTGTGTACCTTTAAAACTAAGACAGGCTAGATTCAACTCAGTATTTCTTCATTACTGTAATAGAGGCACTGTGCTAACTAGGAGCCTGGGATACAAAGAGAACACCTTGCCCACAAAGAGCTCTCAGTCTAGTAGAATAGACAGATGTGGTATAAATACAAAGGGAGGAGCAGCAAATGTCAAGAAATGAAGCTGTGAAAGTGGGCAAGAGTCAAATAGTCAAACACCTTGTATTTAATGTAAACAATTCTGCTTTTTCTGAGGCAATGGGGTGGTTTAAGCAGGGAAGTCTCAAGAGCAAATTTACCATTTAGAAGGATCACTTTTCTATTAATAATACGGTAGAGAACAGATTGGTGAGTTTAAGGGCAGATTGCTGCAGTGACATAGGTGACATGCTGAGGATTTAATCTGAGGCACTGGACTGTGAAAATAGTTTTAAAAGAATTCCAAGAGGAATCAGTCACTGAGTAGATGTTGTAAAGAGAGGAGGGGATAAAGGATAACACCTAGGTTTCTGGTCAAATAATTGGTCAGGTAACGGTATCACAGGAACTAGAGAATGAAGGTGGGTGAAGATCCACGTTGAGGTAAGTTAGTTATGGTATGTATATCCACGTGAAGAGTCAGTTCACAGTTTAACTATCTGGGACGGAAACTGAGTGGACAATGAATGCGATGGGAGACATCAATTTTGCTGGTGGATAATGCTGTGAGAAAGAATGAGACTCCTCAGGAAGGCTATGGAAAAAGAATATCAAAAAACAGAATCCTAGAGAATAGCAGCATATAAAGAAGATAAAGAAGGGATAAAAGGAGAACCAAAAGAGATTATCATGGAAGGCAAGAGATTAAAGAGTGAAAGGTCATCAGTGTTTAATAGCAACTGGAAAGAACCAAGAAGAGAAAATTAATTCGATTTAGCCATTAGGAGCTGATTAGAGTAGCAGGGATTAAAGCAGGACTACAATTAATTAAGAAGTAATTTGAAGGTAAGGAAATAGAAATCTCCACCGATTAGTCTATACTAAGCTTTCATGAGGCCTGGCTGGAGACAGGAGAAGACACAAAGGGCAGCAGCTAAGGGCTTACTGGAAGATTATCTCTCTTTTTTTTTTTTTTAGATTATCTCTTTTTCTCCCCTGACTAAAACACCTGAGGGTTGGTGATAGGAAAATAAAAGAAGAGCCAAGAAAGAAAGAAAAAGACTGAAAATACAGTAAAGACATGAAAATGGAAAGACAAATTTAAAAAGCCTTTAAACACACAGCTATTAAAGTCGAGGGTAATTACTATAGAATGGTATCTAATATATTCTTTCTTTTTTTCTCTAATACATTCTTATACTAGGTGTTCTGACAAATGAAAAGTACTATAAATATTTTCTAGTGGCTATGAAAACGGACATTTTTTTTCAGCTGAGTTTTCCAGGGCAATTATGGATTCACATTTGAAGCAGTATTTACCCAAATTTTCAGAGAGCCCCCTACCTCTGAGAAAAGATTTGACTTAGGCTGCAGAACGCCTAATCCCTGAGGAACCAGAGAAGAAAAGGTTCACTTCTTTTCATCTTCACCCAAGACCTGGAAGCCAGCCCTGGAAGTATTTTGGAGGTAGCCCCCAGTGCCCTGGGGCTTCCCTGATAGCTCAGCTGGTAAAGAGTCCACCTGCAATGCAGGATACCCCGGTTCGATTCCTGGGTCAGGAAGATCCCTTGGAGAAGGGAAAGGCTACCCACTCCAATATTCTAGCCTGGAGAATTCCATGGACTGTATAGTCCATGGGGTTGCAAAGAGTCGGACAGGACTGAGCAACTTTCACTTTCACTTCACCTAATGCCCAGTCCTTCCTTGATGCAGTCCCATCCCCTACCTTTCCTAACCTAAACCCTATCTTTCTGTTCTTTGCCTCAAGACTTGTTTTATGATGTGGGGCATATGTGACATCATGTTAAAACTTTAAAAGCAAATCTCTCTTATCTGACATCCTAGAATTATTTTCCTTCCTGTATCAATTCAGATTATAATAAAAAGCTTTTGTCAAAGAGATGTGATATTAGAAGACAGCTTTTTCATTAGTTTATCTTTCCTCCAAATCCCTCAAAACTCATGCGAATATTTATACTACTACTGTTGTCCCAACGAAATTAAACAAAATTATTTGGATTAAAGAAACAGTATCTAGATGTTTTAACTTCTAGACATTAGAGTATGTCTTATTAAATACCAATGTGTCTGACATTGGCAAACAGCTGTCAAATTCTCAAATCCAAGGTATAGTTTAAAATAGATTCAGCAAATTAAAACCGTGCCTCAATTTCTATAGGAATCACAGGAATCACTAGAAAGATGACTCAAACCTAAAGAGAGGGGTGATAAAAATCATAAGGCAAGGCAAATGTGCTACTGTATTTTTACGTTCTCCCAGGATCCCCCTCCCATAAATAAGCAAATGTTTATCACCTTTATCATTATTGGTGAGGATGAAACTTAAATAGGATTTTCATTGATCCATGCTTTACTCACCTCAGGGGTTTGAAGCGGCTGTTCTGTTTAATGTTTAGATTGTGTAGATCTGTGGGAAGAAAAAACTTGACTCCCTGTCCTCAAAACGTGTGTGCCGCGGGGACGGGAACCGTAAGGATCTTAAGTTAATTAAGTGGTAGGATTAAAAGACTTCCGACGCTAATCTGAAAGAGGGAATTGGAGCTGAAAGTGCTACAGAAGAGCTAGAAGATGCTACAAGACGAGTCCTCTGGGCCTTCAAAATCAATTCGAGCGTGAATAAAACTTGACAAAGTGTGTTCTTTTCTGTTAAAAAAAAACCACCACCACCACAACAAAGTACAGATGTGTACTCGAGACGGCTAGTTTCCAGGCCCTAAATAAAACCACAGGGAACTTTCCCTGTGGGTCACTAACCTCGGAAAGGACTACCCAGAATGGGTAGTCATGCCCTGAGAGATGAACCCAGAGAATTAACCGACGAAGACATCGACTGAGAACCGCTGCGTTTCTCAGTTCTCTCTCGCAGCTTTGACTGTTGGACTCCTGTTAAAGCACCTCGGCCCCAGGTGCAAAGGAAATTAGAGGCCGTGAGGGGGAAGCGGCTTCTGGTTTCGCCAAAAAGTCCGGTCTCAAAACTGCAAAGCCCGAGGATACCTCGCCGGCCACTCAGTTCGGCCTACCGGCCCGACTCCCTCCCCTCTGCAGCCAGAACGAACGACTCCTCCGCCCAGGACTGTGTCTATCCAGCTCAGGGCTCCGGATGAGCAAGCAAACCTACCTCCGGTCCAGAGCGCTGGCACAGGACCTCTGTATGCAAGCCTCCACCTCTCCCAGGTAACAGCGCCACTTCGGCCAGAATTCGACCGCCTCCTGACTTCCGCTTCCGGCGCGCTGAGGCCGAGGCAGGCGTGTGAGGTCTCGCGGGATTTCCGGCTCCCTGTGTGTATTTTCCGCAGTTTTTTCGAAGATGCTGCTGGCTCGTGCGGGGCTCTGCGAGGGTAGTTAGGTAGGACTAGACGTGTTGATGCTTTCCGTGCGCTTCCAACCGGCCTGGTAACTGGCAGGAAGAGACGCATCGCTGTATATTGAGCCCCCTTAATTTGTAGCCGGCAACGGCTAGGGACGAAAGTTCTGGAACTTCTTAGCTGAGAAGGGCGGGAAAAGCTGCTTTCGGCCGCCGGCGCCGAGTCTGCGTGAGGAACTTGAGGCGACTGCCGGCCGCAGAGTAGGCCCGAGGGGATCCCTTCAGCGATGCTACAGCTTTCACTCCTGTTCCGGCGAACCTCAGTAGTAAGATTTCTCTAGTCCGTTTTGTACCTGTTTTTGCCGAAACGCGGCCCCGCTCTGCTCCAGCTTAAGTCGTCAGTACCCAGCTCACTTCAGGAGTCTTGTCCGTTTCTTCTGGAATGTTCGTAGGTGTATAAACGCTGACTGTTTCGCAGTGTATTTTGGCCTCCTTCGTCCCGAATTGCTTTCCAGAGTGGCTCCCTCATTTCCTTAATACTCTTACGAGTTTCCAGCTTGGAAACATCAATGTTTCTATTTGATGCCATTTCTGTTTTCCCCGTTGATACTGACCAGCGTTCTTGGCCTTTCTCAATAAATAGAAATTGACTAGAGACAAGAAATTCAGGGGAGTCTCTGTAGAGGCTCATGTCTCTATCTTGGGATGTTGAAATTCTTTTTTTTTATTTTTTTTTATTTTTTTATTAGTTGGAGGCTAATTACATCATTACAGTAGTTTTTGTTATACATTGAAATGAATTAGCCATGGATTTACATGTATTCCCCATCCCAGTCCCCCCTCCCACCTCCCTCTCCACCCGATCCCTCTGGGTCTTCCCAGTGCACCAGGCCCGAGCACTTNTCAGAAAGAGAAAAACAAATATTGTGTATTAACACATATATGTGGAACCTAGAAAAATGGTACAAATGAACCTACTAAGCAATTTTGTATGGCGTGCACCACATATATAAGCCCCTCTCCCCCAGTCTAGGTTGCTTCTTTAAGTCGAGGAGCCCAGAATACCAGCTGTCCTGTTACACGTATCACATGTGCAGCTGAGTGAAGGCAGATGGCGGGCTTCCCTCTTGCCGTTGCTGCCCTAACCCGTGTGCAGAGAGAAACTAATGTGGTGAAAGCTTCTGAGTGTGCACTTGTCTGAGAAAGCTCTCCAGTGCTGCATTTATCTGTATTGACAAGAAGGGCTGTTAATGTCTTCAGACTAAGTAAGACATTGCCAGGAAGCTAAGATTCCTCGCAGCTTTTAGTGAGGAGATGGGAACAGAACCCTAACTTGGAGTGAGTGGGGAGGTTTAGAGACTAGCCTCAGTGACAGCTACCAGGTCCAAAGCCCCTCTTGTCCTTGTGAGTTCAAAGACTTCCTCCCTGACAGATATTTTCGCTGGTGACATCACCTCAATGAGAAAGATTATTTTACACCCCTGACCCCCAAATTCCCTACTGAATCCTATGCTTCTCCGGCCAAGGGAAGGAAGGGAGCTGGCAGATGGTGCCACCCATTGTCACGAGTGGAGAGACTCCCGCCATGCTGGAGACGTGCCCTGTCCATGAGACGGCCACCCACATGGCTGGACTGGTTTAGGGGACTAGCCTCAGCTGGGTCTGCAGCTGTCTGGCCATTTGGAGCTTGAACCTCTGCCTGTGGCTTTATTCACCCTGCCACAGGCAGGCGGACATCCACAGCTGCTGGTGGGCCCTGCCAGTCTCAGTGCTGTATCTAATCCATCTTGGTGAATATTGTTCTCCTTTCCTGGAACCTGCACACAGTTGGTGCCAGATGTTTGATACAAAAATTATGTTTTTGGTAAATAGATAATGTGCAATATATTGTGCACTATGTGGAACTCAGTTTTACATTAAAAAAAGAGAGAGAAGCTAGGAAGTAGGCAATCCTTTACTGAAAAGCTATAGGGTAATTTCTTTTCCAAGGTAATTTCTCTTCATGCATTTAAAGCATTTAATTAAAAACTTTTTAAAGTTTAGTTTTACTTTTAAATATTTTTTTTAATGTCGACCATTTTTAAAGTCTTTAGTAAATTCGTTACAGTATTGTTTCTGTTTTATGTTTTGGCTTTTCCGTCGTGAAGCATGTGGAGTCTTAGCTCCTCAGTCAGGGATCAAACCCGTACCCTCTGCATTGGAAGGCGAAGGCTTAACCACTGGACTGCCAGGGAAGTCCCAATTATTTTTTATAATGTAACAATTTTTGATCTTTAGTTGTGACCACTATACCATTTTTTTCATTTATTTTAATTTTTTTGTCTTTTGACCACGAGGCATGCGGGATCTTTGTTCCCCAACCTGGGATTGAACTCACGTCCCCTGCATTGGAAGGCAAAGTCTTAACCACTGGACTGCCAGGGAAGTCTCAATTATTTTTTATAATGTAACAAGTATAGTTCATTAGTCATGACAGCTGTACTATTTTATTTATCTATTTTTATTTTTATTTTTTTTTGTCTTTTGACCACATGTCATGTGAGATCTTAGTTCCGCGACCAGGGGTTGAACCCACGTCCCCTGTATTGGCTGCACGGAGTCTTAAGCACTGGACCAGCAGGGTATTTTACTTTTAAAAATGGACAGATTCAGCAGGGTGCTATTACATTTGATTGGGGAATGTATTTCTTTTGTAAGAAAAGTTACATCCAAACGTGGCTCCCTTTTGTGCTGAGGGAGGCTTCGGAGACAGGAGGGAGGGGAAGAGGGTCAGTACAGGTGTGTGTTAAAGATTAGTAAAGTCTATGTCGGGGCTTAGTAAAACTGACATGTTCTGTTTTCTGCTCTGTAGTATTATTACAGCATAAAGGATATCAGCATCGGTGGGCGGTGTGTTTGCAATGGCCATGCTGAAGTGTGCAGTGCAAACAATCCTGAGAAACTGTGAGTCCCTTGTGTAGATTTTTTTCACTTTCTGTGAATGTCTAATTGTTTCAGTGGTGTTGGCATCCTATTAAATACTTCTAAGTTCCTTCCCTCAGCAGGAATGTTTCAGCGTCAACATGAAGATGATGTGTGTGTCTCCTCTCCTCCATCCCAACGCCCCCTTTCCCACCCCCGCTCCAGACGGTGCCCCAGGCAGCCACAGACAATTGAGTACAGTTGGCAGGAGAAATGTTTGTCATCCTTGGTGTATGTTTTCAAATCCTTTTTCATCTTTAAAGTTGTGGTAAAATACATATAAAGTTTACCATCTTAACCATTCTTAAGGGGTTTCCCTGGTGCCTCAGATGGTAAAGCATCTGCCTACAATGTAGGAGTCCCGGGTTCGATCCCTGGGTTGGGAAGATCCCCTGGAAAAGGAAATGGCCTGGAAAATCTCATGGACAGAGGAGCCTGGTAGGCTACAGTCCATGGGGTCACAAAGAGTCGGACATGAAAATACATTTAAAGTTTACCACCTTAACAATTCTTAAGTGGGGGTGGTTGAAGTTCATTGGTTTTCAGTACATTCATAGTTGTGCAGCCAGCCTCCAGAACTCTTTTCATCTTGCAGAACTGAGACTCTTTACACACTAAACAACACCTCTGCATTCTTTCCTCTCACAACCCCTGGCAACACCATTTTACTTTCTGTCTATGAATTTGTCTACTCTGAGTGTCTCATGGAAGACACAATATTGTCTCTTTGTGACTGGTTTATTTCACTTAGTATGATGTCCTCATAGCGTGTGTCAGAATTTCCTTCCTTTTTAAGACTGAATAATATTTCATGATGTATGCACTGCGTTTTGCTTACCCATTCATCTGTTGAGGGACACAGGTCACTGCCACCTTTTATCTGTTGTGAATAATTCTGCTATGAACGTCAGTGTAACTGTTTTGCTTTTCATTGAGGCGTATTTCACATGTAACAGGATGTGTGTACCTCTAATACTGTGCTCTGCAGTTGTATGCGTGAGTGTTTATGTACTGTTCTGCAGTATGTGTGTAAGTGTTGCCAGGTGTGCTCAGTCATGTCCAACTCTTTGTGACCCCATGGACTGTAGCCCACCCGGCTCCTCTGTTCATGGTATTTTTCAGGCAAGAAGACTGGAGTGGGTTGCCATTTCCTCCTCCAGGGGATCTTCCCGATCAAGAGATCGAAACTGTACCTCTCTGCAATTGTATGCACTCACATTATCACTCCTAGAAGGATACTCTGAAGGACTGGAAATGACCAGATGCTAGATAGAGTAATGTTTGTCTCTCAGTGTTTTAATTTAAAGTGTTCAGTTCCCCAGAGCAGCATTTACCAGGGGTACTTTTTCCTGTTAGTCACATTCAAGTTTGTGCATTGTAAGGCCTAGCTACGGGTTTGGGCAGAGGTGCCAGCTACCTGTGTACGTGGTGAGTTGGTGATGCCCTTCTGTCCAACTTGAAGCAATCTCTAATGCTATGAGCCCCTCTTCAGGGATCAGGTGGTACTCTCTGAGATAGCACTGTGAATCTGTCAACCGACCGGTCCTTAATCAGCAACAGTTTGCTTATTAATGATTAAATATCCTTGCCATGTAACCTCCTGGACGGTTGGGCCCTCGGGCACTAGAAGCCGGATCAGGGAAGTCCGGAGTTGGAAGAGAAGGAGAAAAGAGTTCACTGTAGGCCTCGGAGCCTGAGACAAAGTGGTGCCCCGTGGGAGAGGAGAAGTCACTGGAGAGAGGCTGAGCTTCCCATTTGGCCCTGTGGCCTTGGCAGACCTGCAGGGGTTCTGCGCTCCGCAGTGAACTGCTCCCAGCGTGTGTCATTGGACAAAATATCTCTCCGTCCCCCAGTGAAAGGCTCAGGGTGCCACCGGTCTACATTAGCACAACTGCCTTGCCTCCCCATCTGCTGGTTGGCTTCTGCCCAACAGGCTGACCTGCCCAGATGATTCATGGAGGCCTCTATGAATAGGAAAAAAGTCTTCTGTTCAAGGGGATTCAATGACCTAACAGAGGGAGCCACGGCTGGGCAATGAGCAATCAAGTAGAGCAATCAAGTGGCAAGGCAAAAGAGGACTTTAATCAAGCATGGGTACTAGGCTGACTTTGATGTCCAGAAACGTGGAAGGATCATGGGTTTAATTCTGAGCTTCCTAGCAGTCAACTCAAAAAGGGAAACCTGCTCAGTTTCATATTTCACTATGATCATAATCTTGAAAGTATCAGTTGTATAGGAGAAGGTGAATGTTGACACCAGGGCCCGATGAGGCGTCTACCTGGAGGTGGATGGAGCAGTCATGAAGAGGATTCTCCAGTCAACAACATATTCAGTAACATCCTTCCAACAGGCACAGGGATAAATTTTCTACATCAGTCATCAGCCTGGGCTGAGAGAGAATCAGCAAAAGCAATTATTTGGGGGTGATTATATGATTCAGACAGGTTCCCAGCTCTCTTTTCTTTTTCTGTGCTCAATATGGATCTCCCTATTGGATCTCTCAATATGGAAGTCATTGGGCACTTCGCTGGTGGTGCAGTGGTAAAGAATCCGCCTGTCAATGCAGGGGACACAGGTTCGATCCCAGGTCAGGGAAGATTCCATGTGCCGAGGAGCAACTAAGCCTGTGCATCTCGGCTGCTGAGCCTGCACTCTAGAGCCTGGGAGCTTCAACGAGAGAAGCCACTGCAATGAGAAGCCTGAGCACTGCAATGAAGAGTAGCCCCCACTC